GAACAGGAGTTACAGGCGGCGATTAGCGCGGCCAAGCAGGGGAAGATACCTCACCAAGGCATGGCGGGCTGCATCCGCAGGATCAACGACATGCTACGGCTGCATAACCTCAGGATCCGCGACGTTTTCCACGTTATGGTGAGGGGCAGAATGCCGGTCTGTTGGAAAAAGTTTTCCATTCTCCCATCCTTGCTGTAACAGGAATAGCAAAGAGATAGATTCCTAAAGGCGTGACACTGATGGCATGCTCCAACTCAGTATGCGGACCCAGGACGTTTTCCCCTTGATGGTGAGGGGAAGAATGTCCATCCCTTCACACAAGCAGTTGACAACACACCACTTCAATCCGTGGTTGGGTGAAACTGACGCCTCTCCTCTGCTCGCAGGACTCCGACGGCAGCGGAAAGCTGTCACATCGAGAGCTGACCCAGGGGCTAAGCCAGCTGTACGAGCACGACAGGTATGATACGGCGCCAGGTAGTAATAGTAGCCTCTGTGGCACCAACCCCCTTGTGGTTCGAAACACGAACGAGTCGAAACACGAGGTAGAGCACGTGTCGGTGTATCACACTTAAGATGATTGTAGATTCCTGCCCGTACTGCTCCCCCCCCAACGCCCCTCCCACGTTATGCTCAAGTAATATTTTCGCCCCGCTCACACCCATCCTCGTGCATGAGCCTTCCCTCTCACCGCTCTGTCCTTTGAAGTCGGTTGTCGTTTGATGATACCCCTGCTGTGACCATGAGCACTTGTTTCTCCATCTTGAAGGGTTGAAGGGTACAAACGAGGAGGTGCAAGGAACAATCAGACCACATATTGATAGTGAACCTAACATATATCAGCAACAGCAACAACAGCAACCACAACACATGCCACGATTGCATTGCCATACATAACTTAACCTCTATGTACACCTCGGTTGCGGCCTTTACCGCCACCGTCGTTTTTCGCCCCGCACCCCGGTGTTTGCCATCGGGGTTGGGTTTTCGTTTTCGTCGCTTGGCAAAGACGTTGTAAAACAAGCCCCCCCCCTCGGTGTTTACCATCGGGCTTGGGTTTTCGTCGCTTGGCAACGACGTTGTAAAACAAGCCAATTCACTTCGTGAACTCGGCAACCAGGTT